GAGTAAAGGGGGGAGGGTCTCACCGTTTTGACCTTGCACAGCACAGACAGGACGATGTATCCTCTCCGGTTGTAGCGCAGGTAGAGGATGTAGAACGGGAGGATGGCCCAGAGGTAGACGCACGGGATCCAGGCGATGACGGTGTTCTGGAAGCATGGCGTCAGGTCCGGGGAATTTGTATACAGCGTCAGGTTCGAATCCTGAAATAAAAGGAAAAGTATAATAAGATATCGTTTTGGGGTGAAGTCGGCTTATGAGGGAAATATTTGGGTTAGAACCCCCAGAACTTTGTCTGGAGATCTGACAGGAGGCGGCTACATTGTCGGGTTGTACTTTGGACCTCGGCCTCCATTGTCGGGTTGTACTTTGGACCTCGGCCTCCATTGTTGGGTTGTACTTTGGACCTCGGCCTCCATTGTTGGGTTGTACTTTGGACCTCGGCCTCCATTGTTGGGTTGTACTTTGGACCTCGGCCTCCATTGTTGGGTTGTACTTTGGACCTCGGCCTCCATTGAAGATCTGACAGGCTCGGCCTCCATTGTTGGGTTGTACTTTGGACCTCGGCCTCCATTGTCGGGTTGTACTTTGGACCTCGGCCTCCATTGTTGGTTCTATGACAATTCTAGATAAAATATTTGAATTTTACATTTTTGGGGAAGTTTCTTTGGCCGGTATCAGTGATCTGCGAGATGATTGGCTGGTTGTGTTCCTGGGAGAACATCTTGTATAATGGAGGTCGGAGGACATGTGACCGCAGGGTGACAGAAGGAGAAGTAGATGAAGATCCGAGGACACTGCCTGGTTCCCCTCCCCCATCACACTAATGGCATTATGAAATAAAACCTTTCCATGTTCATGACATTCCGTATTGTGCCGGGTCTCTGCGCTTCTCTATGCAACGCAGGCAGATTGCAGCTGGTGGGAGGGGCCGGCAGGGGGCTGTGCATAGCTCCCTGAAAACATCCCAGCTCCCTGCCTCTGCACTCCTCTCAAGAGCCCTCAGCCCTGATGCAAGCAGTGGGCGGGCTCTTGGGATGAGCGATGCATATTTCAGCCATGCGTTGTGCTGCGTCACACAGACTGCTGCCGGTTCGGTTTAGGATTCAATCGCCCCAAAATCAGAAGGAAAGTCCGCAGACTTGTGATTGGACCTTCAGAATTCCTTCCCGATCCGCTGAGGGGAGGGCACCGAAAAATGAATG